ATGCCCCAAGCAGCACGACAGTAATTCAAATTCCTGATGTCACAGGCTGTGTTTTCTGCCATCGAAGAACCTATGGACCAGCCCTCTTTATATGATCAAAAAGACAAAAGGTGAGCAATGCCCCTGCAGTGATTAGCGTCACCTGTACAATCACTATACATGACCACTACATGGTGCTTCACATCCAACATTATAAGTTTTTCATGGAAAAATCACCCTTTCCACTTTTGACCTTGTCCGCACACATCATCAAATTCCAATGTATCCTTATAACATTGAAAAAAAGGGGCAATAATTACCCCTCTTGGCCAATTCGAATTTGTCCATACGCCTTTTTCGCTTATACAACACTGGGCAAACCTTCCAGCATTACATTCACCAAGTCTTGTCTGGTTTAGGCTACTGTGTAGCCTATTTGGATGACATAACAATCACTTTCAAGAAGTTTTCTCCCATTTACATGACCAGGCCTCAAAGTTAAACCCTGCAAAATGTATACTTGAACATATGACTGTCTCATTCTTGGATTGCCTAATTACCCCCTTCTGGTGTCAGCCCCTACTAGGAAAGGCAGCCTATTTGGATGACATAACAATCACCTCCAAAGATGAGGATGAAAATACTAGGCACTTGCATGAAGTTTTCTCCTATTTACATGACCATGCCTCAAAGTTAAACCCTGCAAAATGTGTGCTTCAACATATGACTGTCTCATTCTTGGATTGCCTAATTATCCCCCTCTGGTGTCAGCCCCCACTAGAAAAGGCTAAAGTTATTGCTGATTTCCCCAAGCTAAAAAATCAGTCAACATCACTTTTCTGAGTTATCACAATTTATACAGCCCACATTTATCTTGCAATATTATGCTGCTGTACACCAATTTGAGAAACGGAGTATTTCATCAAGATCAGTGAATATGCAAATTTAGTTAGATATGCTAAAAGTTTTGAAAGCCAAATTAAAAGGTTTAAAGAAAACTGGCTTTTACAGTGAAAAAAAAGTTAAAAACACTTGAAGACGTTTATTTAAATTTTGCTTTGAAATTTAAGGACCAGTATCACAGGGTTCGTGCACATTTCTGTAGATGGGAATTTTAAGGATCATTAATAAAAAAAAATTAAGGAACTATCAGCAAATGGGAACTAAATAAATTCAATTAAAGATATTATTGATGCCTGAATGTCACTTCTGTACTATCCTAAGAACAAAATACACCCGTAAGCAAGATGCATTATTATTATTATTAAACATAATTTGATAAACATAACTATAAAAAAACACATTTGAGGATAAAATAAGCTTCATAAAATTTGTTAACTAGTATTAAATACTGTACAACAGGGATGTCGAACTCACAGGTACACTTGGGGGAAACAAACAAGATTTAACTTTAGGCAGGCCGCAAACAAAAAAAAAAAAAAAAAAAAAAAAAAAAAATCAATATTCATAGAAACGTAGATTTATTTCGAATAATACAATAATAAACATATATATATATATTTATATAGAAAAGAACAAGAATAATTTAATGTTTACGTCCTGATACTTGACATCTCTTCTCTGCTATTATCTTTCCTATTCGGGAGAAATTTTGTTTGCAGCGATAACTTTCAACGCTGACCCAGGTGAGCATCATTAATACGGTTTCTAATAGGAGACTTATTACTTTTCATGACTGAAAATAACTGCTCGCACCGATAAGTGCTACCAAACATGGAAATAATTTCATATGCGAATTTTCGAGTATTTTCAAACCTGGCTGGTAAATATTTGTAAGATTCAGGCACGCCCACTTCAATGAATTTTGCTTTCAAATTTGAGTTGCATTGAATCTCGATCACCTCGATTTGCATATGGCTCGGTACTGAGTCAATACTTATTGAGAAAATCGAAGAAAACAAAAAAAATTTGTCTTCGAGGGAACTAAAATCATTAAACCTCGTTTCAAATTCAGTTGTTAAATTTGCAATTTTTTCTGCGTATTTTTGAAACGAACAAATATCATCTAAACTTGATTTGTTCATGCTGCCACGGGTCGGGAAGTGCGTCAAATCTTCATTTTTAAGTTGTTTTTCCCAAAGACTACTAGTTGACATTTGAATGCTTTAATTATGTCAAACATGTTCGTAATGATATGATCTTTTCCTTGTAACGATAAATTTAAATTGGTTAAGTGTTTGGTTATATCAACCAAGAAAGATAAATCTTGTATCCATATTGGATCGTAAAACAAACTTACGTCTTGATTTTTCGTTTTTAAAAACTGACATATTTCTTCTTTCAAATCCCAGAATTGTTTGAGAATCTTACAGCAAGATAACCAATGTACCTCGGTATAGTAGGACAAACCCGAATATTCACTATCTAACTCACTTAAGCAGTGAATTGACGCTGATTTAAACCTCGAGATCTTATAAAATTTATAACTTTTTTTATATATGACAAAACATTCTCCATATTTATTACTTTCGTGCATAGAACTTCTTGATGTATAATACAATGCGTACGATGAATGTTTGAACCGTGAATTTCACGAAGTTTTTTCCTTAGTAATGCTACGAAGCCCTTGTTTTTCCCGGTCATTCATGGAGCGCTATCTGTAGCTACAGAATTTAATTTTGCCAAAGGTAGATTGTATTTCTGCAGAAGTCCAAAAACACAAGTAAATATATCTTCTCCTGTGGTAGTACCAGGCATCGGTATTAGTTCCAGTAATTCCTCAAAAATGTTAAAATTCTTGTCACAAGAACGAAGAAACCCTGCTAATTGAGGTTTGCCACTAATGTCCGTGCTCTCGTCACAGGCAATGGAGAAACTTTCGAAACTAGATGATTTTGCTTTGATCTGATCACTTAAATTCACGGCTAAATCAGTAACTCTTTCCACAACTGTATTTCGAGACAATGAAATTGATTGAAAAGCCTTCACATTTCCAGGACAAAAAATTTCTCCAGCTTTCATTAGGCATTCCTTGATGAAATCACCGTCAATAAAAGACTTCGAATGTTTAGCTATCAACTCGGACAAGACGTAGCTTGCATTTACCGCCGCTTCACTTTCTTGCAATACTTTACTAAACATGGACTGTTGCTTTTTCACTCCTAACTTGAGCTCTTTCAACTTTTCTTCTCTCATTAATCCTTCGTAATTGTTATATTTCGATTGTGTTGTTCGTAATGACGTTTAATATTATATAACTTTGGTACATTAATAGTATTATTACATATCAAGCAGATTATTTTATCTTTTATTTCACAGCAAAATTATTCTAATTCCCATTTTACTTGGAATATTCTATGTTCGTCAGCGATTTTTCGCTTAATTTTACTACCACTTGGTTTTGATATACACATACTGAATACATAGGGCTGGAATAAACACGGTTAATGTTAAAAAGTTAACAAAAATTTATTCTTTCCACAAGAGATAAAATCAAAATGCTGAAATATTTCTTCAAAAATATTCTAACAATATCACAAAATGTCAAACGTTTAGCAAAAATCAATTCAAAACAGAGAAACTAATTCTATCTCACAGCGAAATCGCTACAAATCAATCACAGCATTAAGTAAACAAACAGTTCGCTAGAACTACAGCTACTACTGAGATGAGTTGTTTGTTCTCAGCTTTTATAAGCTTTATAATTAATTTCTCGAATATACTGGAAACATCTATAAATATCCGGATTTTTGTGGAAGGCAACAGCAATTACGAGATATTTATTTATTAGGTATCAAATGCATGCGCTGTTCTATTTTTAACCTTCCAACGCAGCTGTCTTTTCAAAAATTGTCTGCGTTGCTAAGGCAACATGAAGCAAATCTAATTACAATTCTAAATAAAAAAAACTAAATAAATAAATAACTAGAAATCTGTAACAATATGAATTAAGTAATAATTAATAATAAAGCAAATTGCATGCACATGCATGCACCAATATATCATACAAAACTATGATTGGAAAACTGAGACCATGAGTTCGGCCACATTCGGCTATCGGGGGATGCGTACAAGTTCTGAGTGCACGTGTTCCCCAAAAGCCGAAGGTAGCTGAACGCAAGCTACTCACACGCATTTGTAATTTAAGTAGTGTGTGTGTCAGCTCGCTGTGAGTAATCTAACAACACTGAATAAATTATCATTAATTACTTAGCAGTAAACATTTCATTTTTTTCTTCATCGATATGTTATTTTATTATTATATATTATTATTTGCCGATATATTGGCCGGGCCGCAAAAATATTTGTTGTGGGCCGCTTGCGGTCCACGAGTTTGACATCCTTGCTGTACAAGGTCCGAGATCCGCTCTCGTCGTGACTTCGGGCATTCCGGATTTGCGATTTTTTCAGATATTAGATCATAATATTAAGATGGCATGTAGAAATTATAAAATTAAAATAAGAAATCATGACTTATGAAATAATGAAGCATTTATGATCTAAAAGGTATCAAAATTTACAAAAAAAGCTTAATATTAATTTCTTTACTTTTTAAAAATTTCGTTCAATGTAAGTTGTTTAAGTTGCTACATTTTTTGTGCCAATATTTTCTCTTTAATTCTATAAGACAGACATTCTTGTTCAGTTACAAAGTTAAATTGTTCAAGTTTTGCATTTGCTGCGTCAAGAATTCTTACTAACTTGTCAACTGAAATTTTTCATTTTCAATAACTCTCTGTCACTTTCTTCACTATCCGTAGCAGTATTTTCTGGATCTAGAATATTACAGATTTCGGCATCCATTAATTGATTGATGACTAAGGTTTCATCCCAATAAAAAATTTCGATAATAAATTTCCTAATTTCGATAACTTGATGACATTCTTAGAAAAAAGAAGTCAAACTTTGGAAAATATCCAAAAAAACACAATAAAATCAAAACAAACGAATGAAATAAAACCAAAAAAACCTTCTTGTTCATTCAAATAATTTGGAAGGAAACTGCGTTATATGTAACTCCTAGATTGGAACTGTCAGTTTGCCTTCTATTATCCAGATTGATGGATAAAGTGATATCTTCGTTGAATGTTAAAGTAGAAAAAGTAATTATTTGGTCTGATTCTATGATTTCCCTTGCTTGGATTAGAAAATCACCACACTTACTAAAAACTTTCGTGAGTAACAGAGTCGCTTTAATACAAGAGCTTACGGGGTCATACCAATGGAAATATGTGCCATCTGAACATAACCCAGCTGATGTCATATCGCGTGGACTGTATGCCAGTGACATTCTTACGTGTGATATCTGGTGGAATGGACCAGACCTTCTACGTGAGGACATGTGTTATCCAGAACAACCTCTTGAGCCTACTACTGATAATGACTATGTCAAGGAACTGAAATGTTTATCAGACTCTAATTTTTGCAATATTAGAAAATAATTCTAGTTTAACTTCTCTCTTAAATCGAACAAATAATTATATGAAATTAATCAAAATTTGTAGTTTTATTTTTAGGTTCTTCAGAATCATTAAGAATAAGGAAAGGGTTTCAGGGCCTATATCATTAGAGAAACAGAAAGGGGCCGAATTAACATTAATTCGGGAAGTGCAGAAAGGTGAGTTTTATTCTGATATTGAGTCACTTAAGAGGGATAGCCAAGTACCTTAAGTCGTTAAATCCATTTATCGATAATGATGGAATCTTACGCGTCGGTAGCAGACTTGCACAATCTCAGGTAAGTTATGAATGTAAATATCCAATAATTTTGCCAGCTAGACATAGGTTGACTTATTTGATCATGTACTATTATCATCTGAAATATTTACATCTTGGACCAGAAGCTCTATTGAGTACTGTTAGACAAAAGTTTTGGCCCATCAACAGCAGGAATCTTGCTAGAAAAATAGTACATGAATGCGTACAGTGTTTCAAACACAGACCTGTACCAATAGATCAGATAATGGGTGATCTGCCTGCTGAATGAGTGTCAGTTGAATCAACCTTTAACAAATGTGGACTCGACTTTTGTGGTCCGTTTCTTATAAAGGCAAAAAATCAAAGAAAAGGAGTTTTTCAAAATATTTGTATGTGTATAATTTGTATGTATTTGTATTGCAAGTATAATATTTTTATTTTCTTATTATATGCTACTGAATTTAATTGTAATTGAAATAATTTGTGTTAAATTGCATTTCATTGTGTATTTCATATGTATGTCTAAATTTGAATTTGACTGTAAAACTTTTATGGCATTACTGAAACTTGTTTCAATGGGGGCCGGAATGTTCGGTTTAATATAGCGCCCTCTTGTGAGAGGAGCCAAATTTAATTGAGTTGGTTGTTGAAGAAGGTACGCAGCGGACCTATGGTGCGTTCGTTCGTTCCACTTTGTCTGTGCTAATGGAGCACCTAACTTGTAACCTTGTACATTATGTAAATAATTAAATATTTGTGTGGCCTAACTTAGTTTTATTTTGGAACCAGCGCCAATTATCTCTCGTAATTCATAGCAGTTTATATCAAACAATGCTGTCTCTCTGTAGATCCTCTTGCTGCTTCAGAATTATTTTGGCATAATCGAAAGTTCAAACTTTAATTTTCATAAAAATGCTGTAATAATAACAACCTGCAAAAAATAATGAGCTGTATCAATTCAAGAAGTTAAGGAACAGCACAATCCGCTATATTAACTGAAATTCCTTGTAAATAATAAAATATAATTTTAGCCTAGCTTAACAGTGTCCGCTATACATTATTGGCTATGGTATCATGAGATTGGCGAAGGAAGGAAAAGTTGTTCCGCTATATTTTGTCTTGCTTCTATTACGCACTGAGACAATTAATCTTGAATTGTATTAGTTTAGTTATTTATTATACTTACATCTATTTCTTGCACATGCTTAAGGCTTATGAGAGTCCTGAATAAATAAATTTCTACATATACTTAAGCCCTATCGAGGGTTAACCATCTGATGCAGTCTCTGTAGGTCCTAAATTTTGCTACTATGTGCCTCCCTAAGTTCTAAATTTTTGCCACCCACAAATTTCAGGTTCCAGCACTTTCCCTAAAATCTAAAAATTTTGCCATTCCTTAATTTTGTTGCTCAGTTGTAATGTTGTTGCTTAATTTGTGCTTTTCTAAATTCCAAAAATTTTGTCTTCTCTAAATTCAGCAATACGAGCTCTGGCTCTGGGTTTATGTGAAAACAAATCAATTATTCTTAATTCAAATATCACTACATGTAATCTTTTGCGTTATGAGTATCATAAATAAAATCTATTTTTAGCATATAGAAAGAAATTTATGTTAAATTTTTCCTTGTCGACATTTCTTAGAGTATTTAACTTTAATCATCACCAAGCGTAATGTCAACATAAAAGGTTACCCTACTCTTTGTTATTCAATTACTAATATAAAAAAAAAAAATTGTTTAGGTATCACTGCATGAGTCATTACTCAAGTTGTCATATGGTGATAAACATGCGGTGATGGAAGCGAAATGTAATAAATAATGATTTGCCAAGTTGGTGTCAGTAATATAAAATATCAGACTGTAAAATCAACGATGTTTTTAAGTAGAATGTTTTGGTTTGAAATGTATGCCAAGCAAATACACAGAAATACCGTGCTTTGAGATTTGCCACAGTCTTCATATTAAATTTTGTTACTTCTTACTGTAAATAGTCTTTATTGTGTTGTTTTATTAATTTTAAACTTCATTGATGGATTTTTATCAATTAAAACTTGGAATAATTGGATGGCACTTCCGAAATATTTACACAATAAGCAATTTTTTAAGTATATTTTCATGTGAATAAAGAAAAAAACGTTACTAAGTGCTAATTTTAACATATATAAGAGCTCAAGTAATAATCTAAAATGATACAAAAAATTACGATGCTAAAAGCGAAACTTTTTTTTCTGATTTTTTTTTTTATAAAATTAGGCTTAGCGACGCAAAACCTCTGTCCTGTACAGTGACTGCCTTTGATTCCCTACCGTCCCGCAAGAGCGTCTTAAACAAAGGTGCGCCGCCGTGAAAAGGTTAATGCATGGGTGTAGCCAGCTCAAAATACGGGAGGGTACCCATTACGACTCCTATGGCTATATTGTTCTACCCATTACAGCATCTTCAAGCATAGAGGAATTATTACGTGACAAATGTATTATGCTAATGGCAGTTATCCTAATATAAATAATAATTATATTATGAATTTTGTTAATAATAAAATAATGTAACATAATTATGGACATATTGCAGTTAATTATAGTATTTATAATTATTACCTTACAAACATATTAAATGCTTAACTCAATATTTTTGTTTTTAAATTAATTAAAAATTATTAAAATATTAAAAGAATTTTGGTTTCATAATACAAACATAAAGATAAATAAAATATAAAATCCATATTTCTGTTGTATATAATAAAGATATTGAGTTAAATACATAAAAGTTGTAAATACAGCATTTATTTTGGACATAAAATTAAAATGAAAACAAAAATTTAAAAAAAAAAAAAAAATTTCTGGACTATCATTTTGTTTCGGTGTTTAAAATGTTCCCGAATTCCACTTTTTGTAGCTGTACACTGGCAAATATATCAATAACTTTGTCAATTGATATTTCTTTGGTATAATTAATGTTCATTAATGCCAAAGAATTTCTGCGCTCTTCTGTCATAGTAGCTCTACTATTATTTTCTACCCTTTTCAAAGCACTTGTGGAACGTTCACATTTGCAAGATATTATAAGAGCACATCAATATTTGGTAAAATGGTAAAAAGATTTTATTCCAAGCTTTTAATGTCAAATCTGGTGTCTGAGAGCTTTGCTTTGGGAATAGACATGAAATGCCATCGCCAATGTTTCGTCTCTTTGTTTAGAAGTGTTCTGGGCAGAGTAAATCATGTTTATATATCACCTTCAACTCATTTACAGCAATTTTATTCACATGATCAGCGCAAACTGATGGTTGCATGCAAAACAGGGACGATGCATTCTTCTCTAAAATTGAAAATTGAGATTTTAAATGGAAAATGAGATGGTCAAGTAAAGGGATTGCTAAAATAGTTTATAATAATTAAACACTGAATCACAATGAGCATTATATCGATAAATTTGCTTTCGAAGGATGCATGGCAGTTTAAGCTTTATATCATTTAGATGAAAGGATGCACAGCAGTTTAAGCTCTATATATTTTACACATTTGCCCGGCACGATCAAATATACTCTCAAAACTCTTTTCTACATTTTCATGCGCAAATGAAAAATCTCCCCTCCCGTCCTGCTATAGTCCAGCTGCACGAATCAAAATTTCTTCTCCCCGTTGCCTACAGGGTTACAATTTAACTTCTCGAAGCCAATTGTAGCCAAGAGGAAAATAAAAATACAGAAATAGAATAACATATCTAAATCACAAGAGCAAGTAAAGAATATCTAACAAGCAGGCTAATTACTTGAATAACAGTAATAAATGTGAGAGCTAACAAAGAAAATAAAATGCATTGGTAAACATACATATTAGCATTACAAACATCTTTCATTAATTACAATATTAGAGCAGAGTATTATAATAATATCATAAATTAAATAATTATAAGGCATACCAATTATATTTTTCATAAATTATATCAATAATAGTCATGATATCTGAACTAGACTGGAAAATTTAATATAATTCTCTGGCATGAAAAAGATTATTCCATAACAGGGTGTGCTAGAATTTCTTTTAATTAAAGTAATCAGGAAATGTTTGCAGAAATTAACAGTTAAATTAGGAAAAAACTTAGCATGAAATCTATTATAACAACATAACTTGAGTTTGGAACACATACGTGCGAACATATAAATTGTAAACAAATTTAAATTATTATGCTAAGAAGTTTTTTCTAAAATTTATGTAGAAGAAAAGAATTAGATGAACAGACAGTACTGCAAATTATACGTAATGAATCAGGACTCTCAATAAATAAAAGCTTTTTTTAAACAAAAACCTAAAAATTGGGATGCAAAAGTTTGTGTAATATAATTGGAAATATCTGAACATATAACTAAATTATAACAAGCTAATTAACAGTAACATTAAGCTTAATTTCATTCAATCTAAAACAAGCAATTGATCAGGAGCTCCGCATAACTGAAGTTTTATTGCGATGTTACGTAGATTTGCATATAAAATAAATACTTGCACTTGTGAAACAAGTGAATAAAACAGGAATTAAAATACAGTGGTTAAAATATAACTACTTGTCAGAAGGTATGCAAAGTTGCTATGGCTTGAAATATTGAATGATTATAGAAAACTCATAAAGTTAAGTGTGAAAAGAAAATTCTGGAATAAATATGTTACGAAAATTAGATGGAGAAATAATCCTTAATTTATTGATATCCATATAAACTCTATGCTTTTGGAAAAGGTTACATATAATTTGCA